ATACAACACGTATCTACACACCACACCACACTCCGGAGTTCCCCAGTATAGAATGTAGCCCCTCAAAGAAGTTACTTGGATTAGATAGCAAAAGGCAATATGGTCCAAGATCTTGAGAGAGTTGGGGTACTTTCTGGAGGAGACATCTGGCATGCAACTTTATCCCAGTTTTAGCAACCACATAATGAAACCTGCAAGTTCTGAGATCTATACAGCCTAAAAACTTTGGAGGCTCAAATTCCAAGCAGTTTTGTAGAGATTTTGACATAGTCGCAAACAAAGCATTTCATGTACACAAATACGCTCTCTCAGGACAGGTAGAACAGATAGACATAATTTGCAAAATCTCACATACCTGCAAACTAACACGGTGTCAGATTTTAAAAGTTTATTCTTACCTGCTGCTGCTTCAGAACTGCTGCTATCTTTAACTATACAAATTGGACTCAGAGGTAAAACCTCATCATCAAAACTGATCAAATCTCCTTCCACATCTGGTGTACTTTGCAAAGCAGGTGATGAGGAATTGGTTGCCAGCGACTCTCCCAGAGACTTGAAAGCCTTTTCTTGGGCAGATGCAGAAAGACGGGGAGCAGCAGCAGCTGGTTTTACTGAAGCCAAAGGAAGGGTAGGATTTTCTACAGAACGTGACTTTTTGGGAACAAGTGGCCTTGGAGCGGGAACAGGACATTTCTTTTGTCCATCACTGTTCTCTGCAACTGACCCACTCCTTGCATGAACAAAATCGCTACTAACACTTTTTACAATGCCAGGTTTTGTTTTTTTTGGCAATTCAGGTTTAGTTACAACACTGCTCCCAACCACTTCAGGTTGAGGCTGCAATTCCTTGGAAGAAGGTGTTGACTTGCTTTCCGTCCATAAATCCCAGTCTCCTGAAACTCTGCTTATGCCTGGCTTTGGAGCAACTACTGGCTTCTTTGCAGTTACAGGTCTTGGGGCAAACGATCGCGGAGCAATTTCTGGCTTTTTTGATGATCCTGAGGTATCAGTTGTTGCTTGGGATTCAAAAGCTTTGATCCTTGAAACAATACTATTGTGGCTCTTCTCTGTACTCATAGTGTCCACTGCCAAGGGATTGTCCAGTAAGCTATCATCTACAAGAGATGACTGCTGAGTCAGAGGTTGCTGCCTTCTTGTGGTGGCCTGATTCACTTCTTCCCCATTGTCTGGCACTCTGCTTTCAGTACTTTTGACCACAGGTCTAAGATTGCTTTTTGATCTTGGCTTTGGCACAGGATATATCACAGCATTGGGATTTTCTTGGCACCGCTGATCATCAGAGCTTTCAAAGACTATTAAGGGAGTCTCATTTTCTGAAGAAGACCTATTCAGGAGAGACGCAGAAGGCCTAGGAGGTTTCAGAGGACCCTGCCCTGCTGAAAGAAAAGAAAATGTTATCTATTCCAGCTTTACCCTTTATGTTTTGTCACCCGTTACAATGGGAAACCTGATGATTTTTATTCAGAACATACTGCTGCTTATCAAAGTTTGCAATTCTCTTTTAAAAAGACACATTAAAAATAACAATAGGCAGAAGATGATGATTGATGAGTTCAAAACTACTCAGTAGCTCAGCACAGCAACTTTCCCAGTTGAGTTTGTGTACTTTCCAGTGTGCATAAAATGCTGTTATTCTGGCTAGCGGTCTGAGCTCCTCTGGGCCCAGGTTCAAAGCAATTGTCAGCATGACTAAATGGACTGAACTGAGCAAAACTTTAAAGATTTTTATTTTAACATCATTAAGACACATATTACATCTTCATTACAGAACAAGTTTTAATTAAAGTCTAACCTATAGCAGTTATTCTAAAGAGAGGAGCTTTACAGGAATGTACAGAAGTAATCACTCCCAGAAATTTTGTTGTTGTTCATTTTAGTTGCTGCAAACATCAGTAAGTGCCTCTTAATGAAACAGAGTAAGACTTTTGTCAGTGAAAAATTCAGAAAAAGCTCACCTGGATAACTTGCAGATTCCCAGCGTGCAGGCAGACTGTTTTTTACATTACTTCTTGGAAAACGGCTTATTAGTTCCTCTGGAAAGTCAGTTTGTGTTGCAGAAGTAGTGGTATGTCTAGGAGCAGTAGCATTATTGTTATTTGTTGTATTGACTTGCACTTGATTAATTTCTTTTATCACCTGCTCGTAAGATGGTGGCTGCTACAAAACAAAAAGATAAAAATTCATATATGTTCAAAGGTGAACATAAAAAAATCCTTATAATTGAAAAATACTAAATCAATACGCGCAGAAGAGAAGAGCCCTGTCACAGACAATATTGTTTCTCTCTAACTTGAAGTGCTTTTTATCTTTAAAATCAAACACACATCTCTCGTAAATACGTGCTCACCTCAGCTGGAATAAGCTCACTTGTTCTCCACTGAGCATGAGACGAGGCAGAAGGGAATCCTAATCCCTGCGGAGTGACAGGGCTTGCACCTGGAAACCAGGAGGATGGCCGGAGGGGTTCGGCAGCAACTATTGTGATTTCAGGACGCCTGAAGATTAAGACAAAGGAAATAATTAACTAAAACAATTTAAAACAGTTGTTTTAAACACAAAAGAGCATGGTTTTCTCATACTGGGAAGTCAGAACACCTCACACTTTTGTGACATAACCTTTCACGATTTCAAAGCAACTACCTGACCTTTTTTCAAGCACTTAGGCTTCTATTCGAAACACCAAATTAAATGCCTAAGCCAAAAAGTAGGTTTACTGGCTTCAGTGAAATAATTTACATGCTTAAATACAAGTGTAACTTAACTGAATGGAACAAGCTTTAGTCTTCATGTGTTTGCCTTTAGCCTGCTGCAATGTGAGGACAACAGGGCAGTTAGAACTGTGCACCTATCCTGTGACTCACTGGGAACACACCACAACCGATCTCTCAAATCTGGCACAAAATACATTTTGAGAAGTGAGCTTTGCGAATAGATGAAGTATCTATTACAGAAGCCTCTGGCTGCCAGAAGAAAAACAGTGCAGAAATACATTTTAAAAGCTGTTTTTAAAAAGTGGGAAATATACACTTCATTTACTCCTTAAATTATGACAGACTCAGTTCACCAACCACCCAGGTTGGCAACCCCCTTTCTCAATATCATTTGAAAAACTAGAAGGAGGCCTGAATGTGTCTATTTATTTACACTGTCAAGTGATCCAATAAATAGAAGTCAGGAAAGTAAATGGAGATGGTTGATTGACTCCAGTTTTTATTTTTTTTTTTAAGATACACAGAAATCTTGACCAGAAAACCCCTCCAACCCTTAACCCACCCTGTGCTTAAGAACCACAATATTTCTGTTTTATTCCGAGTATAATTTATTTTAAGATAAAAAGGAAAATGAGATGGAAAAAAATAAATGGGAGAAGAAAGTAACAGATAAAAAGTAATATTGCGACACAATCTAATGAGCTTTTCAATAATATACAGCTGTTAATACAAATAACTGCATCATACCTTCTATCCCTCTGCAGCTCACTATGGTTAGAGGTCCGAGAAGCTATTTAAATAAACAAACAAACAAAAAATAGGTTAAAATATACTGTCATAGCAACAAGATGAGGATAAGAGCACACCCCTCACAAATCCACCATAAATGAAACTGAGAGCACACAGCATCAGATCATGAGTTGTAGATTCAAAGAATGGCCATGTTCAAATAAAAATTATTTGTATTAAATATGAAAGTATGTTTTTAAAGGTCGAAGAAACAGTTTCATTATCAATTGAAGTCTGTCTATACACCTAAGGTACCACCAAAGGAGATAGACGCAGCCCCCTTTTTTTTTCCTTGCAATATGCCCCTGCCTTGTGCATAGTTGTGACCCTAGAGCTGGAATTTTTTTTTCCTCTATTAGTTACAACAGTCCATCAATGACACAGAGAAGTGTTAAGCACATCTGACTTTGTTTTTGATAGCACATTTCTGAGATGTATACTTGTATCCCTTGTTTGGAGAGGCAAAAAAGGCATTATTTTTAAAGAAATAAAAGCACCAAGGCACAAAATTTAAAATATTCTTTCACCTTATATAAAAGGAAAAAAATAAATATATAATTGTCTTCTTCATTGTCATGATATATCCTCAGATAGAAATTTACCAAAATGTATTCACTTGCAGATCAAGAGGCATCAACCTTTTTTCTTTTTTGCAAACCACTGTATTTTAAATTACATAAATAAATCCTGACCTCTTTGTTTTTTATTTTTGCCATACTTATATTCAAATAATTTTTTTCAATGGCCACATTAGCTTTTGACTTTGATTGAGGAAAAAAGGTAATTAGTTGAGGGATACATTTTGGCATAGCAAATGCAATTTAGGAAGTAGAGTCTTATTGTGCCAAAGCTGACAACTGAGCTGTTCCTGCGCCATCAGAGAACCAGAGCTGAACCCGGCAAAGCAGATACTTGATTTAAGAGTCGCATAGTGCTGTGTCAGACATACCTCTTCCACGGGGCATTTTTGATGTGCACTATTCATGAGTGCTAGAGGAAAAAAAGAAGGGGTTACAGAAGAGGAGAGGTGAAAAAGAAGAACAAACCAAGGCTTCAGAGTGACAGAAAACATGACCAAATGGGTTAGCTGCACAAGGAGAGCGCACATGCCAGTGTCCTAGACGGGTAACTGTGGTGCTGATTCACAATACAGTGGCTTAAAAATGAAGCAGATTTTATTTCATGCCGATTTTAACATTCAGAGTTTAGAAGTCTCCCCTGCAATATATTTGTAGTGGAGAATTCAAATAGGGAAAACACATTGTAAGGCTCAATAAGGTGTCACTGTAAGAATGAGGGGAAGTTAAAACTCTTTGAAAGCTCTATGTAATCTAAATCATGCTCTCTTTAGGCCCAAGCGTCTTCCTTTGCCCCAAAAAATACTAAAAAAAAAAGAGGGGATCTGACTCAGATCCCATGAGGCTGGGAAACCCTGATTCCTACTCGCACCTCACTGAGACAAGTACTCGGCCACGCAGACCCCCAAGGAGGGAGCAGAAATGCTGGAGACATCCCAAGTTTCTGGTATACTCACATGACTCCTCACCCAGCTCTGTAAATATCACTTGACTACAAAAAACTTCCTACCTAAAAGGCACTTTGTTTCACTTCCTTGTTCACCCACTTTAACACTGATATTACGCACTCATTTGGGAGTGCAGGAAGGGGGAAGAAAGCCATCCTCTTCAAGTTCATCTTTGCAAGAGGATGGAAGAAAGTCTTCATTTGGTAAACGTTATATGAAATGTAACTGCTTGGGGTACATCCAAATTGCAATGACAGGAGCGTAATAAATGAATACCAACTTCTTTCATGTTGTCTTCATTGCTACATAAATTCTACATGCTATTTTGTCTTGTAGGACTTGAATGTACAAACAAAAACGTCAAAAAAACCTTTCTCCTTACTGGACAGGAGCAGAAAATTGCAGTGAGGCATACAAATCTACAGTAATCCTCACCAAATCTCAAGTAAGGAGGAAGTTGACCTGAGATTATCATCACTTGGAATACTTCTTTAAAAATAATTTTACTAGTAGATACTAGTAGATATGAATATCAAATCTGTCTCTTCAAAAGGGTTAACTCCTAAGCCATCATGTACATTTTGACATGGAACCTGCTGCTTTAAGAAAAAGAAAAATCTTAAGACATTTATGGAATTAAGCTACTTGCATGTATATAAATATTTAATATAGACACCAGTTTCTTAAAGAACTTGACTAAATTGTTCACTCTTTGCCTCCATCAACCTCTCTGTTCTTTTGCACTGTTGTAACAACCTCAGGAACCTCAAGTATGGCCCTTCATGGTTTTAGCGCATCTTTTATTTTGGAAGCTCTTAAATCTCCACAGAAGGAGCAGAAGTGAAAGCTATTCCATCTCCTGCACTTGAATATTCCCTAGAGTTCAACAAATGCTAGGGAAAACAAAACATGAACCGTCAAAATAACCCTTGCCTCCTGCCTTGAACATCTTTTATTTCTTTACCATGTCAAAGAAAAGAATTTGAATTAAAAAGCATACGAGAGAAGACATGAATTTTAAAAATAAAACGTATACCTGATTTAAAAACAGAGGCCATCTTTCTGGCCTTGTTACAGTCTTTTGATACTGTTAAGCCTATTCTCCATTTCCTTCATGCTCCTCACGAAAAAAATCACTCATGGATTTCAAATGTTATTCCCAGACTGCAAATTAAGACATCTTTAAGATTAAATAAACTGCCCAGAGATCAATGGCAATGAATTTCAGCCCTAAGTTACATATTGCTAGCTAAGACAGCTGGCTCCTCAACTTCCACACTAAGAAATTCTTAGGATGAGAAGCGTTGGAAATTCCAGAAACATATATTTATAGGCATTTAAGAGAAAGGCAAGTGCGTAGTTGAAGTGGGGACAGGAGCGGAAAAACCCAACCCATAAAACTCACGCTTTTTTCTCCTTGTAGTTTTATCTGTCTCAGAGAAGCAGGGGGAAAAAATAAAAAGTAAAATCAACCCATAATAGAAATACTCCCATGAGTGTCAAGGAAGTATCCTCATGTGTTTAATCTAGTACCAGAGAATTTATTATGTCACCTGCAATCCTAAGTAAAGGATTAACAATAACTCTGTAAACAAAGAACAAATAAATGGACGATCTTTCTTACAAGTACTACTTACTGGGCAGCAAGGTGTTTTTGTTTTGTTTTGTTTTCTTTTGATGTGTAATGGCAAAGGGATTTGTACTATACACTTAGGTTTTGGGATGTTTTTCTTCTGTTTCTCCTCTGAGCAATATTCCTGCAAGGTAGTTAATATTTTCCCTTACATTTGAAACAGACACAGACTATGGGGCAGGAGACATTTTAAGCTAAGACATTTTAAGCAAATGACATACAGAACAGTTTTGTCACTGTAGACTCACTGTTTTAAAGGTAAGTTTCTTTTCCCATCAAAGACCAGAATCTTATCCTCAAATAGCCCAAATCTTCCTAATGATTTTACTACTACCTATCCTGGCAGCTGTAAACATAGTCCCGCAATTAACTATTTCAGTTAATTTATGCTATTATAGGTAGGTTTTAAAGTAAAATTATTTTATGCAAGAAGGATATGTGCCAGTATTTAAAAAAAAACAGCTTCTTTCAGTACTTTTTTGATACTGGTCTAGATATCTCTACCATTAGTCCTATAAAATACACAGAATACTAGACCAAGAAGTTATTATTCTCACTGTATATCTGCCCTAGAATAAAACTTCATAGTCATTATAGCACCTAGCAGGCAAACAGAAAGAATAAAACATTATTTTTGCTCCTTCTTTTGCCTACAAAGTCATATTCCAGAAGGGCTGATAGAAAGGGTCCAGGTAAAAGGCCATGCTTGCTGTCTTTGCAATATTGAATATGTCATATATCTACAGAGACAGCTTCTTCAGAAAAAGCTAAATGAATATAGTAACCCTGAAGCCAAAACCAAAAAATAAACCAACAAAAAGAAGCCAGGGTCTGGCTGGACAGTTTATGCAGAAGTGGAGTTTCAAACTAACTGGAAATTTTCATAGACCTCTGGAAAGAAGCGCTGAAGCTTTTCTCCTGAAATACTACTTGGCACAAGGGGGAGGTCTTGCTCTTTTTCTCTTCAATCTGCTTCCAGGCACCCCAGGGAACTAGGAGGGTTGCTGACATTATAGCCGGGCTGATTTAATTAAAGCCTGGATGTAGCTATCAGCGATGGCACCACCCAATCCTCCTTCCAATCACTGACTTTTGCCGTCACCATTGAACCAACATTAACACTCACCTGACCCCACAGTCGGCGAGTTCAGAGTGTTAAATACATATAAAACTAACCACTTCCCGCAAGGTTAGCTTGGGCCATTTTGACTCCCTGAACCGGCTTCCCTTGGGTTCGGACTGCCAGCAGCACAAGGGAGGCAACGTGCCACTTTCAACAGCAGTCTGCATTTCCTGCCTCCCACTATCATTATTGCTAATATTATTATTATTATCAAATCTGCATATCCGCACCCCAAGAGCAAGCCTGCCATTTCACACAAATTAGACAGCAATGCTTAACGAAGGCAGGTGACTCCTCGCTTTGCCTTGCCTCAACTCAGGCTGCCCCTGTGGCCTCTGCTTCCCACCCTGCATTTTGCCAGCCCCAGTGCTTGTGCAGCTGGGGGAGAGTGAGCTCACCCCACAGATCTGGCTGGGGTGGGGACAAAGGAAACCGCAAGCAAAACAAAACAAATAAGAACAAAGAAAACCCACAGCCAAAACTGGCTGCCCAATTGCCAAGTGGAAAGCCACAGACTCAGAGCACGTCCTGTGGTCTCCAGGAAGAAGCTCTTACACATTCTCCAGCCACAGATTTGCTTAGGACAGAATGAGAATGCAGGTTCTTCCAGCACTTTATGGCAGCAGATTTTTTCCTCCATGCCATCTAACAGTGGAAAACAGTGCAAGCACCATTCCCACACCACTGCAGCATTTGGCTCCTCTCTTTCTCCTTTGGCATCAGTGTGCACGATGCTCTCTCTTAAGTCAATGGCAATAGTTCCCCCGGCTTCAGTGAAAGCTGGATTTAGTGGTGTGCCTTTTGCTGCGACCTTTACTAAAATGCAGAGGTACCTTTTGAAGAGGTTAGACTAGAAAATTAGGTAAAAGAACATCTCATTTCCACATGCTTGTTTTCTTCAGAGATCTTGCTGAGATCTTATACTGCACAGTTTAGTTTCTTATACACATAATGCATTTTCTGAATATTTTCTCTATAGTGCACTCAGAAACAGCCCAGTGAGGAAGCCTCATATCAATATGCAATAGACATAGTCTTTTTCTCTTAATGCAAACTACTAGAGCAATTATACTGGCCTGCACAGAGAAGGAAATAAGGACAAAGACCATCTTTTAATGTGACACCTTCACTCTTGATAACATCATACCTCCTTTTTTTTTTTCTTCTTTTTCCTCCTTTTTGTATCAGGAGGAGGAATTTTGCAGAGCTGTCAAAGAATTGAAACTAGATGTCACCACACCTTTCTATCCAGAGCTGCAAGTCCAGGTGACGGAAAGGAAAATAGCCCGTCTTCCTCTTCGGTCACAAGAGAGGAAGACACTGAACTATGCTAAGTAATTATAAGCATTGTCCATAGATTGGAATATTGAAACTCTGCAAACATCTATCACACATGTTGAAAATGAGAGTTAAATAGCCCACAACAGGTTTTAAACTCTATTATGAAAAAATGTATTTCCTTAAAATACCACACTTTATTCAGATTAACAGCAAGGACAGTTAGGATTTTTTCAGAGTTCACTTTTACTTTAGATCTCTCTATAGATATGGTCACTGGCATACACAGAGTCTCATGCACCCTGCCTCAATACATGCAGGGAGTTTTCTTCCAGCTTATCACCGAGTAATTCACATAACATTTATATATTATCATAGTTACTCACATATCATAGTTACTCACCTACTAATATTATTACATATAGTAAGATCCATGATCCAGGGCTTCTTGAGTAGATACATTTTTAGTTGATTTTGCCTCAAAACAAAGTGTCACTTGTCACTATGTTTTCAAAAGCATTAAGATCAATGGTTTAATGATCAACTGTTTCACAGTTAGATCAGAGACTGAGGTGTAGGCAGTCTAGAATTAGTTCTTGACTCCACCACAAACGGCCTTCTGTGATCTGGTGCTGTATTCCAGTTTACTATGCATGGCAGCAATAGCACACACAAAGTACTGCACTTTAACTACAGCATTATGTAGACTCGCTCTGAATAAAGCTTTCATGAGCCCCAGGTTCAGGAGAAACAGATCAGCTGTTCACACATTAATGTCCTTTTCCATCACAGCAAAGTAGTCAGAGTTGTTCTATTAGTATGAAATTGAAAACATGGACAGAAACGAAATAAAAATGAAAAGGGGAATAAAGAAAGAGTGCACTTTGGAGGGCACAGATAAAGAAAATCTCTGACTGAAAACAGCATGATTAGGCAGACAGAAAGTGTTGATGAACAAGGAAATCAGGAAATTTCATTCAAAATTTATATATTTTTTTTATTTTCAAAAATGAACCCAGTGTATGAATCCAATCCACTCCCCAGTGGAGCCAATGAATAGCTGCTGGAGATTTCTTCTGAAGTAGAACAAGCTTCTGTTTTATCAAGTGTACTAAAACTGGGTATGTACAACCCAGCACCAGAGATATTCACTTCAGTACTGGTGGACAAGTAATAAAATGTTAGCAACTGCCAGGAACAGCCCATCAGCAAAAATAAATATTAAAAAAAAAAGTTACAGTGCCAAAAGAGCCTGTCAGCTATTATCTTTTCACATACAAGGTTAAGCAGTTCACCTAAAAATGAAGATGGAACAATCTTTAAAATATTATAATTCTCAAGAAGTAGAGGGAAAAAAAATGACTTACATCTCTTGATTGCTGCTCTTATGGATGACAAGGGTCCTTGGCTTAAAGGAAAAAAAAAAAAAAAAAAGATTACAATGCAATTAATGTCTCAAAGAGAAAACAGCTGAGTAACATCACACAGAGATTCCCCACATGCTGCACACAGTGCTTGTCAAGATCATTTTCCTCCAAGGTTATCTTACAGAAATTTGTGCAAAACTCCTGGAGTATACAACTGTTCTCAATCCATTCTAATGAAAACCAGGATCCAGCTTTCCTTCCATCTCTGCAAAGATCAAAAGCTAATTTTAATAACCACTTGTTCTCCTGATTGTGTGCTGAAGTTCATATCCTGCCTCATTTGAACGGAAAACTTGAAGAAGAGCCCTTCTTCATGAATATTCTCAGATTATTTAGCATCTAATGATTTACAATTCTTGTAAATTAACAAAACTTGCGCAATCCAGGAAAAATCTACACCCAATTTGGTAAATATTTTTAACAATTACTTAACAATTTATCTTCATTTTTCGTGAAGGTTGCATTTTCAGTAATGACTTCCTGGGTGAGGCTAGTTGGGAAGACAATGTGACCAAAAATTTGTTGATAAGCAAGGACAGAAAAATGTTTCCTTTTGCCAAATCATCTGTTTTCTTGGCAACATGAAGGTTTCTAATGCTGCTTTTCTGAAGGTCTTATTTAACCCAGATAGAGCAGCCACTACTGTTTTTACTGGTTAAAAAAACAAAAGCAATTTGAGATTACCATTGTCAAAAACCATGAGCGTGATATTAATAACTTGCCACATACACAAAGCAACTGGGGAGGTCCAAAAAACAAACCAAAACTACTTCAACCAAGGGTTTTTTTTTAAGCACAAAAGACAGAGCATATTTGCTGGTGAGAAGTCTTTGAAAGTGCCAAATAATCTTTTTAAAGGCTAAAACGAAACAGCCCACACCTGTTTCACATTGCTACATATCTTTAACGCAACGGAAAGACACATAGCTCGAGCCTTTCCCAGCAACCTGCCCTGGCAGCTTCGCTGGCAGCAGTAAGGGCTGCAGGAGAAGGCCCGAGCGTTTTAGCACGTAGCGTTTTAGCGGCGGTGCCGCCCGGTGCGAAGCAGGCGGGCAGCGCGCTAACGCGGCCGCCTCAGCCGCCGTCCTGCTCCGCTCCACAAGCGCTTCCGTGGCTGAGGCTGACGACTGCAGTTACACCAGTGGGGCAAAGAGGAAGGCATTCCGAGGACAAGGAGGAAGAGGCAGTAAGAACCATAGCTAAAAAGTTAAGAAGGGATGAGAAGGTTCTTCCGCTACAGCCGTTCGGAAAAAGTACTGAGGAGCAGAAATGAATGTGGCTCTCACTGAGCTGCTCTCTGAAATACTTTGGCTGGCCTAGGATATACAAAGCCTATTTGTCTGGCTTCAGAAACAGGTCAAAAGTGGCTTGGCTCCCACCAGCAAAAACTGCAGTAGAAAACACTGCTATCAGTCATGTCTCACTGTGCATTCTCAGCAGAAAAGGAGTCTTATTTTCCTTCCAAATGTCTCATCATAACACAGTATTATCTTTAAAAAACCCTTTGAGTTATATGTTTTTCCAAATGTACCCCATATTCCTTTTTTCTTTCCTTATAACTAAAGTCTACTCATTTGTGACGTTCATTATTTAAGCTCTTTCTCATTCTTCAATTGCTGTAAACAACAACAAAATGTAGGGTTTTAATAAAAAGAATATATACTTTAATTACACTTAGTACCACACAGAAAGGAAAATAAAGTTTTGAAACATAAACTGCAATCTTTTGGAACAGCAATTACTTTCTATACCCAAAAATCAAGATTGACTTATCTTTTGCAGTAGGAAAGCAGTAAATCTATAAAATACATACTCTCAAGTTTTAGCAAGGATCAAATGGAACAGGGAAGTTCTGCTTCCACCTGGCAAGATCCCTTCCTACCACAGCAGTTTGTCTCAATGTGATGCACACTTCTCTGAGATGAACAGATATTTGGGGCTGGAAATCACAGGAGTCTTCATGCACACAGTTTTCCATACAACATGAGGGACCAAACGGTACAGAAAGGTTTTAAAATCAAAGGCATTGCAGGCATATGCCAAACCAACCTGGGCAAGTAAAAGTATCAATCTACCAAGAGCAAGGCAGCGCAAGTTTGTAGCTCTGGGTGTAACTGAGAACCCAGGATAGCATAGTTGTCACAAAATTTATGATCTCACAAGCAAAACAAGTTGTTACCAGACTTTTTTTTTCTACTTTTCATTAGAAAGACACTATGAACACCCTTCTCTTCTGGCAAAGCATTGCTTTTCCTACCCCGAGAGACATTTAACAATTATTGTTATGTATTACTTAAATCTTTTAAAAAGAAGGAAATGGGAGTGAATGTAGAATTTCTTTTTTATTTTTGTCATGAAACTCTGAAAGGAAAAAGCACATTCGTAAGTTTATCGCCCACAACCCCCACCTAATTTAAGAAGAGACACTGTTGTTACAGCAGGCTGTGATTTTGCCCACACCAGACCTAACCCCTCCCTGTTCCATAGGCAACAATTTCTGGCCTCTTTTCCTGTCTTGCCTAAAGAGTGGGGATAAGGTTGCCCACATGCTCCTCTGCCCCACAGTTAATAAGCACCTTCTCTCTCAGACCCTCCAAACAACTGACATAATCCAGTGAGGTCTGACCCTCCTGTGGTGGCAGCAGTAATTCTGCCAGATGGAGCCGCCTCTTCTTGCTGCAAGCGTGAGCAAGAGCACATACCCAACCCGCACAGACACACGTGGTGAGGAAAAGGGGAGCAGGAGGAAGCTGAACCTCCACGGGATCTCTGATATTGCTCCCAAAGCACTGTCCACCTGGTCACACCAGCACGAGCGAGGGGACAGCGTGATGGCCAAGCACCAGTGGCACAAGCACCAGGACTCCTGCGCTGCCCTGCACCGTGCACGAGCGCAGCTCCAAGCTCCACTTGCTGCAAGAAAACAGAACAGGTGGTTCAAGACCCTGACGCATATTAGCTCCAACACCATCCCAGCCATCCCTAATGCAGAATAAGTAAAGACGCAAACTGTCCATATGTGCCCGCTGCTAAGCACCATGTGGGCACGCACACGGGAGCAAATCCCCTCACATGGGCACATCCAGCCTGTCTCGCTCACTGTTAGGTCAAAGCGCTCACGCTGCAACATTTCCAAATAAGGCAGCAAGTTTTTCATGCGTTATCACCTCCTAGCCCTGCACAGGGGGAATCAACAATCTCTACAGGCTCTCTGCCAGCTGAACACAGGCTCACTAGGTTCAGGAGGGGCCGGTGACCTGCTCCTGCTCTGCTTGCTCCTCTGAAAGCAGGCAGTAACTCAAGAAGGGTCCCCTCGGCCACCCCTTCTGAAAGAAAGGATCCTGGAGCGGTTTGTTTGAAGATGTCAAACACCCACTCACTCTTCCTTGCCAGCTTTGTGCTGTCTTTCAAGGACAGATTTTCTAAACATAAACACTTGAGGAAAATGCTTTAAAAGTGCATTTTAAGCCCATGCACCAGAGAAATAAAACTGTGTCAAACTAGATGAGGCAATGAACAGTAAACTGCTCCGTGGAGGAAGGGCAGTTTCTGCCTATAAAACAGGCTTGTCTCTCACTAGGGATTCTGCCCAAATTACTCCTCTGTGCACTGAGCTAGGCATCTTGCAAGGCTGCGAGGTTCTGCACTACCTTTTCATCCCCATACCTGGGAATATACTGAAGCATCTGCTGCAAAATCTCTAAAAAATTACCTATCATGTATAGGCTACATGACTACACAGGATCACAGCCCTCTGTATAGACTTTGTCTTACACAAACAGCCTAAAAAATTAAAATGTTGCTATTTTTGAGAAGTCTTGTGATTTTTTTTAGAACTCAAGCCAAGAATTTTTAAATAGCTGGTGTTGACATTACTGTGAGGCAAAATATTCATTACCAAAAGGCCTGACATATTCCTCTCAATTAACTTAGAAATGTTGCCATCTTTATAATAAAGTCAATGGACTATCATGCAGTATTTTTACAGCTTATTAGAAAACCATTGATACTATTCAGAAAACATCATGCCAAACACAGAATGTTTGAAATACCATCTAAATGATTAAACTGCCTACTGAATTTAAAAAATAAATAAATAAAATAAAATTAATTTAAGGGTGGTGCAAAAGATCAGATTTACCATCATCCAGATAACTGACCTATTAGTTCTACCAAAAGCCTTCAAACTTAAGTACAAGCAGAGCAGCCATCTGTGGTGTGAATGCAGCACGGCAGCCATTCTGGTGTGGATGCAGTAAACAGAATTGTATTAATCCTGTGGATTAATTAAGTGTAGCTACACTGAAAAAAATACGTTAAGGCACCAAGATAAGTCTCTTCAGTCACTCAGCTGCAGAGGTCTTTCAGGCCTTTCAGTGCTCTAATGCACAAATATCATGCACAAATTAGATTAAGTGAGGCATCAAGTCAAGATGCCATTTCCCCATCTGTGCAGAGCAAACTGACACCGTGCAGCTGGCAGCCCCACCTTCCCACACTCACCATTTCCAGCAGCTCCCTCATGCTGCTGCTGACGTAGCCACAGGTCAGCCGGATCAACCACATAATTTTGATAATAAGAAACAACCTGTCCCCAAATACCTCAATTCATTTTCAGCCAGACAGGCAGGCTGGTCTAGGCAGCTGCAGAGCCACATGAGCACAAGGGTGACATGAGAGAGGCAGCAGGAACAGGCAGCCAGAGAAGCAACACCATCTCCACTCAAAAGGACAAACTTTCAGCCTGTGGCTTTCTTCTGATATAAAGTTAATCTGGCTACAAATCACCAAATCGTGCCTGTGCCTCAGGCTGGCTGTTCTTTGACCCTTTGCTGCTGCAGTTCTTTCTGCTGTTGGTTGCCTAGCCCGGCTCCCTGTGAGAGCAGACAAGCACCAGGAAAAGCCGCAGGCAGCAGCCTGGCACCTCTGCAGCGTTAGGATGCACCCTCACACTGCCGGCCGAACAGCGGGTGCTGTCACG